TTTGAAGTAACAATGAATCTATAATTTACTAGCTGGTAATGATGAATCTACAATTTACTAGCTATTTGTTAAAATGAATATTTCTTTTGTATTTTTAGGGAAGGATCTACAGAGTGCTCAGGGTCTCACTACTAGATCTGACTTGTGATCCGCCTGTTTACAGCCTCTCAAGAACTGAGATTACAGGCCCGTGCCACCACGCCCAGGCTCAATTGCCCTCTCAGCACACCCCGGGAGGAAGGGCTGGTGTGGCAGGCCCAGGGATCAAAGCCCAGCCTCTGAGCCTGCTTGCAGGTGCTTTATATTTGGCCAGCCTCTAAAATGCATATTTCTTAGGAGTTGTGTATTCTTTGCTTAACTTTACCTCAGTGAAGATTGTCTAAGTTTTGTGAGCATATAATGGAGCTATGTGACCACCTTTGCAAAGCATTCAGATCTTTTTTATTTTGGAAGCAGATACTTTATTAACTGACCAAATCATAAAAACACCAAGGGAGATACCTTAGTTCATCCTTCTAATAAGCCTGTTGATCTGGTCTTCCCTATGTCCAGCATCGCCACCGTCCACAAAATGGATGGTCTTTTTCTTCATTCCACCTCGTGGAGGTAACTTGACCGGCCATAGGAAGTTATCTGCCTCTTCGAAGCGTTTTCCAACAGTATAGATCTCAGGAATCACATCCTCCATGCAGATGAGTCCATATTTACGAAGAGATCCAACAATCAATGAATTATCCGTCAAGGCAATTCGCTTAATGATTTTGCCATAGCCACGCTTGTATATTAGTTTGTTCACTGACTTCAGGTTTGGGTACCCCATGCAATGTATGGCTCCACAATGCTCGGCATGTTAATTGAAGCCTTGTTGAGCTTAACGAAGGTACCACTGAAGATTTGGTGAAGGCAGAGAAGCTGCAACACCTTGCGGACCTTTGGACTCACACCACTGATACCCCGATCCGGATGACAAATGCCACTTTGGGCTCTGCAGGGACATAGAAGTTGCCAGCTTTTCTCGCCATCCCAGCCATTCGGATCTCAGTTCTGTACATCTGTCTGTACTCCTTATGACAGTGTCTGGCTTTTTCATAGATGAGCTTTCTCCTCGCCTTGCAAAGTGTCTTCTGAGCAAACTTCTCAGGAGATTTACCTTTTTTTTTTTTTTTTTTTTTGCAGAAAAGGGAATTGAACTTAGACCCTTGAGCTTGCCAGGGAAGTGCTTATTCTACTGAGCCATCTCCCCGGTCCCCTCAGGTGATTTATCTCTGTGAAATGTCTTTGCTTTTTCTTAAGGGTTTCTGGCACAGCAGGAATCTTCTTTTTCTTCTCTTCTACACCCTCCATGCCTCCGGCCAGAAAAGAGGAACTAGGTCTTAATTATAATGGTGGGCCTGCCTGCCTTTTTTCTTTCCTTCCATCTTTCCCCAGAACTAGCTCTTGAACTTAGGCTCATCATACCTGGCTACAATCTCAACCCTTTTTATTTTTTTATTTGAGACAGTTCTGCTAAGTTGCTCAGGTGGGACTTGAACTTGCAATCCTCCTGCCTCAGTCATCCTCAGTGCTGGGATTACAGGTGTGTGCACTATATCTGGCCACAATTGAGATTCAAGTATAAATTAAACTTTAAAAAAATCATTATGCTCTCCATCTCACAGCAATCTTCCTGCCTCAGCCTCCCAAGTATTGGGCCACTGCCAATTTGTTGCTCTTTGATAAGCTCTGAGATTGAGGAGTGATAAAAAGCAAACACTGGCTATGCAGTCCATACTTCCTATCATGCTTAAGATATATCACATCAGATGAGCACTGTGCATGTTATCCTCTATCTGGTCTTGGTCTCCTAGCAACAAGGTAGAAAAGCTAGTAAGGTTGAGGTCTCTGCAATTCAAAACTCTCAGTCATACTCTGGCCAGTTTGAGATCATACCAGCAGTTCTTAAAGACTATAATAAAAACTAAAAATTACAAAATTTATCTCTTTGATGAAACAAAAAACAAAACTCCTTCGGTGGTAGTTTTACTATACTATGCTCTTCAGAAAAGAGAAGGTTGAATTTGTTTCCACAGCTGTACACCATTATTTAACTGGTCATTAGGCAGAAGAGTAGCAAGCACTCCAGTCCGAAGGCTTTGCTGCCTAGGGGTGGGGAGCACTGGTGGGTCTTGCAGGAAGGAATGCTGTGTACTGAGCAGAGAAGGCACAGAAGTCTTCCTGGCTGTTCCTGTGGGTATCCATGCCTATTTCCATCTACTTTACTGACAGCAACAAAACAAGAGCTCTGGAACAGTTTCCATAATACAGAACTGTCACAAAACCATTGTGGGTAGGGCACACACACCAAGGGAGGGACGAGACGCACTCACAACTGGCTTTAATCTGTAGTTAGGACATTAAGATCATCGGTGGCAAGCAACATCTGCAGCACCTTCTAATGGCTGCCACATCCTAAAAACATGTTATGTCCCGCTGAAAGCACCAGTGGGTCAGCCCTAAGTATGCGAGCCCCAACGATACTCAGGTCAATGTGTCCTAATTATGTGTTAATTCAGGAGCTGGACCTGAGGACAGACAGCACTATTTTAAATAAAGAGTAACAAGAAAGGGAAGAGCCAAGTAACACATATTCTGGTCTAGAAAGATGATGTCAAATGCATTCAATGTCACACATAATGCAGGATTCTAATAGTCCAAAACTGATACAAAATCTTAGGGAACTAGACCTGTTTTTTTTTTTTTTTTTTTTTTTTTTTTTGCTTCAAGTAATTACATAATACTATTAAGACTTAGAATTCTAAGCACTCTTCTTTCCCCAAGATTTCCAGGAGCCAAGTTTTGCTGTAAAGAACACAGTTCTTTCAGCATAAGTAATGCTTGCACAGTTCTTTAACTGCTTAAAGCTCTCCCAGGTATTCATTGCATTAGAATACCAGTGATTGAGCCTTTCACTCTGAGATCCTACAAAAGTCATCTACTCCATCTGGGGCCCTGGCTCCTTGACAAGAACCGAGTTGAACATTTTGATGACTATGATAATTATCTATTAATTATCACTGACAATATCTATGGTTCTGAATGCCTTACATAAACTCACTAAACCCTCACAACGTATTTTTCTTTTCTGTTTTTAAGGACAGGCTCTTGCTATACTGTTCAATGTAACCTTGAACTGACTGTGTAGCCTACGATGACCTGGAACTCCTGGTGATCCTTCTGCATCAGCCTCCTCAGTGCTGGGAATATAGGCATGCGCCACCACACCTGTCCTTACAAATGATGAAATGCAGTTATCTTTATTTTGTAGGAAAGGAGACTGAGCCACAGAAAAGCAAAGTTAACACGTCCTTGGTCCCAAACCTGGGATTATAAATTAACCTGTTACACTTGAGTTACTGTGAGGATTCAGATCTAGTCTCTCCCCCAAATGCCTCCCATATTGGGGGGGGGCGCTTGTGGAGCTGACTGGAATGTGGGGAAGAAGTAGCTGTGAGAAGGCGGGGCCTGGCCTGTGGGAGCATGACCCAGAGAGCTACAACCGCAGTCCCAGCTCCTCCAGGCTTTCTGCTCCAGGGCTGCCCAGGGAGGAGCAGCTGAACTTCTCTAGGGCCTTTGGCCCTAGAGCCAGCCAACCCACTGTGGACTGAAAACTTGAGCCAAAATAAACTTTTAGTCACCGGAGTTGAGTATTCAGCCCAGGGGTGAGTAAGTGTTTCAGATGCAGCACCATTTGCACAACCCTAATGAATGAAGAGTCTTCCTACATGACCCTTTAATGACAGGCCAGCAACGGTCAGTTTCTTTAAAAGGTTCTTCGAAATCTTTTTAGGACTACTGGCTCAAGATCTGACCTAGTTTCCTAAAAACAACAAAACAACTCCTAGCCTAAACTCCTCCGGTGCAGCTTTTTTCCTCTGCCAGCTGCAAACTCTTCCCCCGGGAGGCACAATCTGATTGAATACACAACACAAGAAAAATCACCCCCGGTGTGAGCTGCCATGACATTCAATTTCATCTGTGCGAATCTGAAATGCTTTGTGAAATAAAGGAGTTACTGTTTGGCATCAGCAATACTAGGCAGTACGCCTTATAATAGCCCTATCGTCCAACTACACATCACAAGAGAAATTCTGGAACCAGTTGTGATAAGCGTCCTCTGGGAGGTCCCTGAGGATACAGACCTTCCTCTTAACGGATCTTAGCAGCCACACTACCATGAACTGCATGAAACTGGCCTGTACCCATTTACTGGAGGGTTAGCAATAACAGTTCAACACCCAAATTTGCAGTCAAAGAATGATGTTTGCAAAACAAGCCAAAGTTCGAAGGGTGCGTTTTCTGAACTAAGAGTCCGAGTTGAACTGTGTGCAGAAAAACTGTCTAATAACGCCGGGTTTGCTACGTATGTATCGCTGGTCCGTCTCAAGAAAAATCTGCTGAGTGACATCAGAGGAGCCTTCATCTCCCAAAAGGAAAAAGAAAACACACGCTTTCTCTCCCTTTCTGATCCTAAACAGCTGAATCATTCACATAATCAACGGCCAAGATTTCCTCCACAAGCTGTCCGTGCAGCTCTGCCTCCCGCGAAGCCTTCAGGGCATTAACGGGATTCCCTAACGCGGCCGACTCCAGCCAGGAGCCGTGTCCTCCCTCACCAGGCCCGGCCACGGATCAGTCTCTGCCAAAGGAAGAACACGGAGCCAGGGGAGCCGCACCCTCCACCCAGGAGCCACGCCGAGCGCCCGCTGGGCCCCGGGCCAGGCGCGGGGCCATCGGCTGGTCCCGTGGGGAACCTGCACCCCTGCGGGTCGGCAAAGCTGGGGCGCTTGAGAGGCTCTGGGGTACCGGGTGAGAGTCGGGGCTCAGGAGCGCGCGCGGGCCCGGGCGCGGGGTGGGTGGGGGCTCAGAAGGGTCTTGGAGAGCGGCGGACGCCTAAGCGCGTTCCGGGGTCCGGAAAGTGGGGACTCTGCGGGGACCCACAGGGCACGCACACTGGCGCTCACCCGAACAGCCCTCGGAGGAAGGAGTGCGAGGCCTTGACTCGCTTCTCGGCCTCCGCCATCAGCTGCACTGCCTCTCGTTCCTTCCCCGCGTTGTCCATGTCGCCCGCCGCCGCTACAGACTCCTCAACCTGCTCGCGATGCGCCGGCTAGTCTCGGCCTCCCTCTAGCTGGTTGAGCGCAGTGCGCAGGCGCTCAGCCGGTAGCGAGGGCTGGGTGCGCAGGCGCGGCGCGGGATTTGCCGGGACTTGTAGTCCATGAATAGTCCCGAGCGTCGGTGTAGAGGGCAAGGGGGCGGGAGCGGCGCAAGGCCTCTCGGGACTAGTAGTACGTGGCTCCCACAGAGTGACGCGTAAAGAGAGTAGGCGCGCAGGCGCGGCGCAGGGCCTGCCGGGACTTGGAGTTTGCGGCTGCCCGCGGCGGAGTTGCCTAGGACAACTCAGGGAGGCCGCTAGGGGCCGGGTCGCGTTCTCGGTTGGACCCTAGTGTGCGGACCGGAAGACGGCCCGTGACTTCCAGTAAAGATCCTTTTTTTTTTTTTTTTTTTGGTACCGGGCATCGAACTCAGGACCTTGCCAGGCAGTCGTTTATGCCACTGGGTTATATCTCCGACCCCAAGATGACTTAGAAGCCGCAGCACCAGGACCCCGCGCTCGACACGACTGGCGGGCGGGGGATGGGAGCTCCGGAGCCTCGGTGACAGCAGTTGGCTCGGCCGCCGCCGCCGCCCACCCGACTCTGCCAAAGGAGCAGCAGCTGGCGGGAACAGCTATTTTCATCTCCATCTCCTCTCCTAGACGTTTGCGAATGCATCGTCCTCCCTGATGTAAACTCAGGGTTGTTTCTCAATTCCCCCAAACTGCAGCTCTCTGTTGGGTCTCTCTTCCTTGGTCAGAAGCGAGTTACACACTGAAATGAGCGGCTTGTTGTAGGATCCGCTCTTTAAATCGAATTCTATTAAATGGATACAAGCCATAGAGCTTTCTTGTCCTTTATGGGATGCTGGCCCCAAAGCTAGATCTCCTGGGGCAAAGTTCTTGTCTTCCAGGAAACCTTATCTTAAGTATGACATAGATAGAGGCTGTCCTGTGCCAGTGAGGTCCCTGCCGGTCCCAGAGGGAGCTCTTTCCAAAGCGATGTCTAGACTGTTTACGCTTGGCGATGCCAAGGCAGAAGTGCTGGGACAGATAGGCGAATCACTGCCAAAGGAGGATTTATGGCAATTCTGCACTATTAATAAATAGCTGTGGCCACTGGCAAGCAAGACAGGCCAAAGGAAGTACAGCTTGTCCTTAGAGAGCAAGGCTGGAGGGGCCAAGCTCCTGGAAAGATTCTCACAGGACCTTGTAGAGGTGAGGGGAACTCTGAGCTCACCCCAGGGCTCACCTATAGTTACTAGGTGCTATTCTGACTTTGAAGAGCTACGGTCTGTGTTTGGGAGCGCTGTGGAGGAAGGGAGAGGCAGAAAACTGAAAGTGGCAGTAGATGTAGTCGTGAAGAGAAAAGCTGTAAAGGTGGACAGAGCAGAACCTTGTAGGGAACTGGGCCAACCCTGCAACTTAACAGCTCACAGTGCTTCAGCGTGTTCAAACAGCTCCCAGGCCCGGATTTTAGTGGCTCAAGAATACTGACACCTAGACAACTAGCTTTTTGTGCCTGGATCCAGAAAATGTGCATTTTTGAAAGGCCCCTCTGTTGTATGTTGTAAGTAAAGGAAGACTGGATTAATACAGCCTCAGAGGTCTCACTCAACTTAGTCCTGCTGTAAGTGAGCCCCAGCCACCGAAATATCTCACATTCATTGAGGGCTAAAACAGGCTAAGGAATGTACATAACTAATTTGGTGTAAACAAATTGCTATCTGTATTGCCTTCTGACATTCACCAAACTCTATATTAGCCAAGATAACATCCAAGGTGAAGGATCACAAGAACAGACAGGATACCTAAAGGAAAAGGTGTTATCTGGCCTTGTATCACAGCTTGCTGGAATTTACAAGAGACACCAGTTTTCCTTGGACTCTGTTTATTGCTCTTTGCTCTCTGGGCATATCAGCCTTCTGTCTTATACCGCTATACCCTCCACCCCTGTTCTAAAGCTCACAATTCCAAATTATCAAATCTGTTGTCAGCCAAAGCAGAGCCAGAATGGTCAGCTCCCTCAACTAGAACTTGTTGCAGAGGGTGGTTGTTTATAGCTATTCACCTCATTCTCTTCTCTCTTGATAGGAAAATATGAACAGTCTCACCCTTCCACAGTCCATACCAAAATGGTAGAAAAACGTGAAACTTAGCTGCTGCCTGGAATAAGGTTTTCTTCCAGGGTATTAGGGTTTGTGTGTAGGTGTCCTCCCAGTGCCTCATGCAGTCATGGGGCCACTTCTGGTGTTTGTGATTCTTGATCCAACGCTGAGATTGTGGGTGTGAGTGCCCTGGGGTGGATGCTCCACATACAAAATGTGAGAAGAGAGAGGCTTACCAGATGGCATAGCTGCTGCCCCTCCCTTTATTCTCTTTACTTTCTGCTGCTACTGAATGGTTGCTTTCTGCCATGTGCCACTTTGCCTTGGAGCTAGCTGAGTATAGACTGAAACCTCTACTGACCATGAATTAAATAAATCCTTTCTTAATTCTGGGTATGGGGTATTTGTCCCAGCAGAGAAGAGTAACTGAGACAGAGGAGCTAGATGAAGAGATGGAGCAGGGCCGAGGGATGAACCTTGAAAGAGAGGACTCACTGGGGAGGTGGAAGGGAAAAGAGAACTACCACCCCACTGTGGGCCAGGAAGCTGTCTCAGAAAGGTCCAGGTCCCCAGTGTCCAGGCCATATTGACTAGTATGCAAGCACTGGCATATGTTGAATTTACATTTCAATTAAGTCATAGCAAATAAAGTACAAAATCCTACTGGGCGGACTGTACAGGTCAGTGTATTACTGTTGCTGGTGAGCCACAGTGGCCAATGTTCCCCTTGTGTATCAATCAGCCTTTTCCATTAATATTCCACTAATGTAGTGGAATATCTGAGGTGGCAACTCAGAAACAGAAAGATTGATTTTAGCTCATGTCCAAGTGGTGGGTGCATTAGGGCCTGTGGAGAGGACAGGGAATTGTGAGGAGAGCATACGCCAGAGTGACCTGCCTACATTGTGTGCTAAGAAAGAAGCAGAAAGTGACAGGAGGGGCTGTTGCTCTTCATACCCCCAATGGTCAAGGGCAAGCTCCAGTATCCCAGAGACCCCTCGCTAGGCCCTGTTTCCAACACTGACATGCTGGGACCAGGATCCCCAGCAAGCGGGAAGTAGGTATGGCATTAACCCTGAAACCCTGGCTGAAAAGGAAGAGCCTGTCCCTGACCAGTGCAGGATCTACTGGCCTCTCCTGGAAGGCAGATCTGGGGTCATGTGGACACTGAATCAGCACACTGGGGAACTGGGCTGCAAGGGACAGGATCCACTTGCCAAAGATCAGGCCAAAGTCATCTGAGGACCACCCCCCCGCCCCAAGGTCAGAAGACGGCGAAAGATGGATAAAAGGAGATTTCTCAGGAGAAGGGGTCTTCTCACTTGTCACGATCCACTCGGTAAATTTATGTGCATGCTTTTCCACATTGAAGCAAATGGAGGAGGTTTGCCCACTTTTGGGAGTGTTGGACCCCTCTCTTGATGGGAGGTCTCTGCAGATTCCCAGTTTGAACCTTCAGTCCCCAATCTGGTTCTCTGGGGTCACGCTGACTTGAGTGTGAGGCTGGAGTCCTCAGAGCCATTGTGGCCTGATGCATGTGGCCCTAAGAGAGGCCTAGTGACACCAGGCCAGGTACCCTGGAGTGCTGAGCTGGGGCATCAGCAGGCAGGGAGGAACGATGTCTTTCTGGAAGTCTCTATACCCAAAATCTCTGTACCTGACAGGAGGCTCCAAACCTTAGGCATGAAATTTAACTTCCTTTTTTTTGTGGCTGGCTCAGTCAGCCCTAGGGGCGGAGCTGGCACAGCTTGCCTAAGGCACTTTAGTCAGCTGAGCTACCTCACTGCCCCCGGAATTTAACTTTTGTTCCCAGCAATTCTTTTTATTTTCTTCATGGACTTGCAAAGCCAGGAACATTTGAGCATCATATTTCAGAGGCAGCATTAGATGTGTCTTTCATTATTCAGAAGCTTTTCAAAACAACAGTAGTTTATATGTGTGTGTGTGTGTGTGTGTGTGTTTGTGTGCAGATGACATTTAACACGGTGTCAAAATTGCTACAAATAATCCTGAATGCAGATTTTAAAATGTAATCAAACATTTCCTCAAGAAATTATAAAATTTACACCAAAAAAGTTAGAAAAGGTAAAATTAAATATTCACAAAAATCTGCTAGGGGAAACAATAAATAACAAATCAAAATAAACGCTGATGAGAAAATACAAATTATATTATTGTCAGTAGTAAATGTGATGCTTTCTATCAGTTGACATGAAAGTCTCCTGACAAGTTTTAAAATTAGGTGGATGCTTTACTTATGGAAAATGGAGAATAACAAAGGTGACACCTTCATATGGCATAGTCTAAGACCTTTTTCTGATATGCTTAAAATAGTTCTCCTCAAAGCTGTGGTCCTGAGCTGTAGACACATAATTGTCTAAAGGGGAAATGCTTTATTTCCCCCACTCCCTTTGATTACTTTTCACATTATTGTTGTTATTTTTAAGTGTTACATTCAAAAATATTATGGAAAAATATCCATTCATTGTTATTCTTTTTTTTTTTTTTTTGCGGAACCGGGGATTGAACTCAGGCCCTTGCACTTGCCAGGGAAGCACTTATTCCACTGAGCCATCTCCCTGGCCCCATAATTCTTTCTTTAAAATGCATTTAGGACAGGGTCTACGGGGACCTACAGGGTCTCACTACACAGATCAGACTCAGTGACTCGTTTTCAGCCTCCCAAGCACTGGGATTACAGGTGCGTACCACCATGCCCCGTCTCAATCACAGTCTCAGTGTGCCCCGGGGGCGGGGCCAGCATGGAACACTGAGAATTGAAGCCCAGCCACTGCACTCTGCCTAAGCAGGTGCTTTAGTCTGCTGAGCTATCTGGCCGGCCCTATTCATCATAATTCTACATACCTAACAAGGCTGTTTTATTATTAAAGCATGTTCCTATCTGGCTGTCATTCTCAAATTCATATATATTCAAGGTGTAGGCTTGTTGTGTTTTTTTCCCCCCCATGACACTGGGGTTCAAATGCAGGGGTACTCTACCACTTAGCTATATCCCCAGCCTTTTTTTAAATTTTGAGATGAGGTCTCTAAGTTGCTCAGGTGTAACTCAAACTTACTGGCCTCTGGCTTCAGCCTCCCCAGGTGCTGGGGTTGCAGGCTTGCACTACTGTCCCTCGCTCCTGCTTGTTCATGAACATATTTTCCGTATTGCAGTAAATCTTTGTACTTTTAATCAAAGACTACCTAACTGCTATGATTAGATCTGGAATAACACCACCACCCACCAGGGTCTATGTGTTAGAGGTTTTGTCCTAGTTGCTTTCCCATGCCTGGGACAAAATACCCAATGGTAGTAATTTAAAGAAGGAGGGATTTATTTATTTTTTTTTATTTTATTTTTTTAATATTTATTTTATTTTTATTTATTACATTTATTTATTGTGTGTGTGTGTGGCCAGCTCAGCCCACCAGGGGGCGGGTCTGGCTGGCATGTGGTGCTGGGGATCGAACCGCGGTCCCTGTGCTTTGCCAAGCTTGTTTCAAGTAGGTGCTTTAGACCACTGAGCCATCTCTCCAGCCCCAGAAGGAGGGATTTATTTATTGGCTCATGACGCCAGTGAACTCAGTCTGTGGTCTGCTGGTTCCAGCACAGAAACGGCGTGGTGGAAGGGCTTGGTGATGGTGAAGAAAAGCTGCTTACTCCATTGAGGTGCCCAGATATGGAGGACAGAAAGGGAGAGATCCCAGTCATTGTTCTCTGGTCCCTCCCAACAGTGACCAGCTGATGTGTCCTGACTCTTTGTAGGCCTCAGCTCACCTTTCAGGCCTAGGACAGCTAGTGAGGCAGCTGCCACTCACCGCAGATGACTGTTCTGTGCCTATGCCATTGCAGACGCCTTGTGCAGAAACCCTCCCTAGGTCGCTATTGTCCATGTGTCTGCCACAATGGAGACCCTGACTCACATGCACCCAGCTTGCGGGATGAGGCCAGCATGACCTCACACCACCAACTAGGAAGGGAGAGTGTGGGACATGACAACCACAGCTGGTCTTCCTTGTGACCAGAGCTAACAAACATCGGAACTGAACACCTGCAAACACACCATACACAAAACCCAGGTGGATTTTGGACATATACCAGGTAATCTAAACATTGGTATCTTTAGAAAAAAAAATCCAGGACAGTAGCTTTATTAAAGCATTTACATAGCTTTGTGACCTTGAATACCCAAGGAAGACATCCAAAATGCCAACCAGAAGAGAGAAAATCAATACTGTCACGTCACCAAGGTTAAGAATTTCTACTTGCCACTGTGCCTTAAATAAAATGAAAGACAAGATGTGGAGAAAGATGTTTGCCATACATACGTCCAAAAGGGATTTGAGAAAGAGGAAGAAATCCTACAAACCAACGCAACCCAGAGAACCGCACAGAAAAACATGGGCCAAGGCCTTGAGCGGTCGGGTCTGGAGCATTCCACAAGGTCGGGCTGCCCTTGGCAGGACATTCACCTGCAAGCAGCCTGAAGAATGCACCTGCTTTTTATCTGCCATCACACAGGGCCTGAGGACCTGAAGCTCCCGTGCATGGCCGCCTTGCCGCAGAGCTCGGTCCGCTGAGGTGGTGCAGCACATCACAGTGGGGTGCATGGTGAGGCCTTTTCAGCTGCTGGGGACCAGAAAGCAAGTGGGCAGGGTTCTGGGGCCCCAGGATCTCCTGAAGGGCCCATCCCAGTGACCCGACTTCCTCTCATTTCCTTTCTTCCTGTTAGCCATAAAATACATAATAAGTCACTGGGACTCCAGCCACCTACTGTGCTGCAGAACACGAGAACTTGCTCCTTCTGGCCTAACCGTGTGTAGGGACACATCATCCTGTCTCTTTTTATGCATCTTTTCACCCACCCTAAATGCTGGTGCTTACCGTGCCACATGAAAATCTGCTTTTCAGAAGCATCCATGAGAGAGACCATGTGGTATTTGTCTTTTGGTGTCTGACTTATTTCACCTAATATAACGTCCTCTGATTTCATCCGTTTTGGTGCAAGCAATAGGTACGATTCCTTTGTATGACTGAGTACTATTCCACTGTGGATACTGACCACTTTTTCGTTGTCCAGTCCACTGGTGGGCACAGCTGATTACACACAGTGGCTGGCTGCTGTAGACAGGGCGGCAACACACAGGGGTGTACAGGTGACCTGAGTGTGCTGACGTCACTTCCTTTGGATTTATGCCAGGGTGGGCAGTGGAGGCCCCTGGTTGGCCTGTTCTCCTTTATCCACATCCTCACCCACACATTGCTTGTTTGTTTGGCACCTGCAATCCAGCCGTTCCCTGCTTGTCTTCTCTCTGTCCTCTACGACTCCCATATTTTCCACTTCACATAGGGGTGAGGCCTTGAGCTCCTCTTGGTGGCCAGCTTATTCCAGCTAACTTTCTATCCTCTGGGTTTCAAAGGTTCCCCCCACACAGAAACGCTTAATTTGAGATAAATGCTAAGTGCTCTGATTTGAATGTTACAAATTATATCAAAATATCACACTGTGCCCCAAGGCCTGCCTGATTATCATGTGTTGATTTTTTAAATTAAGTTTATCGGCGCATTTTAGGTATATAAATAACGATCACATTCATCATAGGGAATCTGTGTGTGTTGATAAAGACAGCACCAGGTGGCTCCCTAGAGGGTATAGCTGTCTTGAAGCTAGGGGGCCTTCTTGTGTCTCAGAGGAGCAGCTAGATGCATGTCACCCTGGATGCATGTCCATCTCGTGTCCCCAGGGGAAGCCTAAGCCCCAGTGAGGCGTCTCAGCTTCCTCAGCCAGAGCCTTCAGGATGCCCCAGCCGGGGCCACCACAGCACCTGTGGCACTGGTATTCTGCACTCTGGCTGCAGTCTGCTCCTTGGGGCCATTGGGTGTGCCCAGCCAACGTCATCTGCCCCCTACACCCTGCAGGCCCAAGAGGCCCAGGAGGAGGGGCCATGCCACACGTGGAATGCTAGGGCACCTCATCCATTCCTGACCGCTCCAGCAGGGAAGTCCAGGAAGGTGCCCAGCAATAGGTGGGGCTCAACTACGTAGGCTTCTTGCCTGGGTTAGCTTCAAGTCAATGGCCAGTGTGGAGCAGGAGTATTTGGGGGAGGTAATAACTAAAGATGGTGAAGGAAAGGGTAAAGACATGAAAACAACTGAGGCTAAGTGTGGTGGCGCATGTCTATGATCCCAGCACTTGAGAGGCAGAAGCAAGAGGATCACTGTGAGTTCAAGGCCAGCCTGGGCTATATATCAAAACCCCATCTCAACAAGCCCCTTCCTCACCCCCCCAAAAAAAGAAAGCAAGAGAAAAGACAAGACAAAAAAACGAATGGAAGTCAGCCTTGTTGTTTTTAGGGGCTCATTTGCCCCCCTAAGTGAAAAGAAGATTCTAGAAGCCAGTGTAGGCTATGATAAGGAGCCGTGACACCATGACCCTCTCCTAGCTGCCGTATAGTTGTCCCTGGGTGTCTGTGAGCCAGGCTTCCAGGGTCCCTGCTGACAGCCCCACAGTAGTGCTCTCAGCCCTTACTGGAATGCCGTGGTGCTAGGTGGCATCTACACGGTCCTCCCCAGACCTGAGTACCTCTCTCCTTCTCAGTGCCCAGCGTGACCCCCATACCATGTGCATAGTCATCCTTCCATGCACTTGGGGAGTGACAGGGAAAGGGTCTGTACATGTCCAGGAAGCACAGGACTTTCTTTGTTCCTGAAGTAGTCTGTCTGCAGGTGGTTGGCTTATAGATGCAAGGCTCACAGGTGACTGTGCACTATGTGCCCCTCGAAGCAACGTGGTGACAAGGGATGGATGAGCCTCAGTTCCCAGGAAGTGGTGCGAGGCCCCAGGGCACTACCTCGGGTTCCCCCACCAGGCTCAGGCTTCCCTTCGCCTGAAGTGACTGGTATAAAAATAAAGTCAAGCAAGGATGTGATGTTGGTGCAAATGCATGGTGGGTGGGAATATCCGGAAATGTTTAAATTAAAAACACACACTCCAGTAAGGGCACATTGCCACCAATCCCACTGCAAAGCGTCCCCTTCACTTCGACCCAGTGGCCCCTGTCACTTCCTGAAGCAGCCTGGAGCTCTCTCTCGTGAGCACAGCGGTAGGTCAGGGCCTTCACCTGCATGTGACACAAGCTGGTCTTCAGTGTCACTTTCCTTCCATCAGCACCCACAGTGCTCTTCCTGGAGCGGGATGCCACGTTGGCAAGTACCACAGGCAGCTCTTGAGGGCTCCTCATCCCCAGGGCTGCAGGGTGTTTCTGTACCAGCTCCTGCTCTGCCATGGGAGGCTGGGATGATCTCACAAAGCCCGCTAGGTCACAAGGAAGCAAGCTGCTCAAATGTACAGGGGGATCTGGCAGGCTGACCCCCACCGCACACAGGCCAGGTGTGTCACTGGAAGCTGGGACAGCTGGATGCAGCAGTGTCCCCTCAGCTGAGCCCTGCATTGCAGAGTTCTTCAGCTCTGACAGCTCAAAGGCACCTTCTCCGAGAGCTTTTGTACCTTCGCATGTGCCGCATCCCTCCGTCCACCCAGCAGCCGCTCTTGCAGCGTGCTCTGGCTGTTCTACAGTATTCCTGCCTCTGCAGGTGGCAGCCTTGTGGGGAGGCTCCCTGGGGTCTGCACTGCATTGAGGAAGGAGTGGCTGGGCCCTGGGTCTCTGGGCAGCCTGAGTCATCGGTGAGGAATCTTTGAGGCTGCAGAACATGCAGGCCAGAGGTGGGAGGAGCCTTTGGCTGCTGCTGCTGGCCCTGGTCCTGGTGGCAAGGAAGGGCCACTTTGAGGGGTGGCCAGGCTTCCAGGAGAAGCCTATGAGCAAGGAGAACGTGAACTCGACCCTGGACTTCTTCATCCAATCCTACAACAATGCCAGCAATGACACCTACCTATTCCGGGTACAGAAGCTCCTCAACACTCAGGTGCAGGTTAGTAGAGTTCTCCAGGGGGCAGCACCTATGCTCCTGCTGTCTTGGATTCAGGGCTTCTGGGGGCTCCCAAGAGAGAGCCAGGTGATGAAGATTCCACGCAGAGCTGGGCAGGGAGCAGCTTCCCAAGGAAAGGGTGCATGGAGAGTTGGCCAGCCCAGAGTCTCTGTTGCTGCACCCTGACCTGCTGGCCTGACTTTGCAGTCAGAGGAGGGGGTCCCCGACCCTGCTGCAGCCACATGGGAGTAATTGCCTGCCATCCTAAGGCCAGGTCTCACCAGAATCCCAGCACCCTTAGTGGTTTGCTTCCTCTAAAGGTTTCATTTGGCAAACGGCAAGCATTGTCTGTGGTTCCCCCTTTCCTAGCAGTGTTTTCCTAATGTCTAGGGTTGTAGGAACCAGATTGGATTTCTGTGTGCTACAGATGCCTGGGATTCCAGAAGGGCTTTAGGGGGGAGGCTCAGGTAGGGAGTGAGGGAGAGACTGCAGTCACAACACCTCTTCTTTTTATTTCACTTAAAAATGGAAAGGGAAGGATGACAGAGGAGGGAAGAGCAGTGTGGAAACTGCTCTTGTTGGTCCAAGCTCCCCTCAAAGTCAGATAGTGCTGGGGGTGAATTAGGACAGAGCCAGATCACGTCTGGTTTAGCTAAATTCAGGGAAGTAAATGACTAGGACAGAGACCAATGACAGCGGAGGAGGGAGAGCAGGGCAGGCAGTGGAGGAGCAGATACCAGGAAGAGGGCAGGGCCTGGGCCTGCTGGACAGGGCTGGTGACAGTGGCCCTCCCCATCTTCCTTTTGTACCTTTACCAGCAGGGGGAGTCCTCCTCCCTGCGCTGTCCTGGTTGGCTCTCAGAGCCGTCCTTGCAGAGGCTCCAAGGAGGCTGCCAGGTGAAATCATTAATCATCATTACTGGCTAACGGGGAAGTGGCTTACCAGTAAGCTCTGGGTGTCAGTCTGATGATGGGCACCAGACCCATGGTGAGCATCCAGTGCCTCCCAGCGGGCACTACAGGCTGGTGTGGGCGCTGCCCAGGCCCGGCCCCAGGGCCAGATGCCCGGCTCTTCCCCTATCACAGGACCATGCACAAGTGTCACCTGTGCTCTGTGGATCAAAGTCTTGTCACCTGCCAAGGGCAACAGGATAAGGAGGAACAGCTCAACCTAGCATTGTTAGGTAGTGGAGCCTTCAAAACTGTTTGCTTTGGCATTTGCTTTGTTAGGGCCATCCCTACTCTCACCTAACAGTTAAGTCACACCTTGGTTGGGTGGGCATCGTCTTAGGTCTCTCCCCCGCAACAGCAAGCAGGCAATGGATGTGACAAGGATAGACTCCCCCAAGAGGCAGAGTGTGGGCTGGGGGTGGGGCTTCTCGGGGAGCATAGGAGTTGGGAGCATCTGCCTGTAGCTGGACCTGGTCTTGGTGTTGCACCTGGACCAAATCCCCCTGGGGTTGCCCTGAGTTTCCAGGGTGTCTCCTGCAAGAGTGGGGTAGACACCACACTACCACCCATGCCAGCTGTTGCATGATGCTTAGCCAGTGACTACTGAGATTGGGGCAGGGGCTTCAGGAGTTGTCCCTCCAGTGCAGAACTTCTGACCCACACACTCACCCAGGCAGCTTAGCTCTGTCCCCTGGACAGTAACCACAGCCTTGCCTGTAGAGGTCACTCTTTTCTGTGGTTGCCTTTCCCAATTCCCTCCTCCTGGACAAGGAGCAGGAGACAAGTCCCAGTGGGGCAAGGTCCCGAGCTGCCCGCTTCCTTCCTTCCTGCACACCTCGGAGGACAGGTCTGTCTTCTCCCTGTAGCAGCCCTAGCCTGCATCTGTTCTGAAGGAGCCATCCAGACGTGGCTAAAATGCTGATGTATGCATTTTGTGCATTCACTGAAAAGCACAGGCCACTTAGCACACAGAACAATGCCTCCAGTGGGCCCACTGACCACTGGGACTGTGGCTGGGGAAACAGGCTGGCAGGTGACTTGCCCAGGGTTCAGAATTGTAGTTGGCACGTATACCCATTGGTGTGGTCCCCTCAGGCTGGCAAGAGGAGAGTCAGGAGGGTGGGTCCTGGCATTGTGTGCACTCTGTGTCCCCTGGGGTGGTCTGTAGTTGCTAGGTGACTTCCTTGTCCCCAGGATGGATGAAGACTGGTAAGAAGCCACTGTGACTGCCCAGGCAAAGCCAGCCCAAGTTTAGGGTCTTGGTTACCTCTCAGAGTCCATCCTACCAGGTCCACTGGTAAGGGGAAGAGCTCAGCCCAGTGGGGGCAGGCGTGTGGCTCTGGGGGCTCAGTTCCAGTCCTGGCTGCCCTTGCGGGGTGGGAAACTTAGCACAGCATGTTGCTTTTCTGGGCAGCTGACGACAGGTGTGGAGTATCTGGTCACTGTGAGGATCGGTAGGACCAGGTGCAAGAGGACTGGCCTGGTCCGGAGCAGCCCCTCCTGCCCTCTGCAGAGCAAGAAGCTGAAGAAGGTGAGGCCACCCAAGGGGACCTGGGCCAGGAGGAAGCGGGTGTTGGAGCCTCGCTTCTGAGTGACTGCTTTTCCCACCACCCCTCACTGGGCTGCTGAAGGGTGTGGCAGGCAGGGGCAGCCTTGCCCTAGCCTGGCTACCTGGCTCCCTCCTTCCACGGGTGCAGCTGCCCTTCTCTTCCCTCCCTCCCAAGCCTTGCCAGGCCTCATGCTCCCACCCTTGGAGGCTGATGATCCATTAGCCTTCTGGTTCTGCCCTCCTTCTCTGTCTTTCTTGGACCTTGGTGGACCTGAATGGGTGTGCGGTAGTCGGGGAGGACAGGGTCACTCTGCTGGCTCCCACCCCTGAGCCCCACCTTCTGCCACAAGTGGGCAGGAGGGCCTTGCCTCCAGAAGCTGTCCCTCCTCCAAGCTCAGGGCCTGCTTCCTTTCCCTTCCCCAGAGTCTGGTCTGCCATTCGCTGATCTACACGGTGCCCTGGATAGACCGTTTCGAGCTATGGAACAACACCTGCCTGGAGGACTGAGGGGGACCTCAGACAGCAGTGCTGGGCACCAGCTATGATAAAGTTCTGCATGACAATGTCGAACACCTCTCTGGGGCCTCATTGTATACACACACACACACACGCACACACACTCACATACACACACATACTCTCTCACACAACACACACACACACACACATACACACATACATGCATGTACTGGTCCTTACCCTCACAAGCCAGACATGCCATGCCACTCACACCAGTGACACCCTCAGTGCACACATGCACACCCTACACTCTCACACCCCCACTCCTATGCTCACTCTCACTGTGTGCACACATGCATTCCCACTTCATACACACAGCACATTCAGCAGTTGAGGCGCGGCCCTGGGGGGAGGGGTCCCTGCTTGTGTCTCACATGAGCTGGGCTTTTCTGGATGTAGGCACACTCTGACCTCTGTCCACTGACCGGGCACCCTGTAGGCTATCCATACACACGATGCTGTGACCTGCACATGTCATGGCAAATATATTTGGAGTCCCTGAACCAAACCCTGGTGAAAGATTCCTTAGAAGTCACACAGGCCCCAGTGCACAGTTGGCTTCAGGGCTGACAGTGGCACAGCAAGAACAGGAAGTGCGGCATGGGGAAAGCCTCCCCCAGCACAGGCGCTGGAAGTGCCTGGTCCCCGTATGGAGCTTTAACAACATGGACAACACTGATGCTCGCTGTACTGTCTGGAGAGGAAACAGGTCTGAGACACGACCTGGGTCTTTGCTGGGGGGTGGGGGTGTGGGTGTCTCTGTCTGGCATGATGTGGAAGACTGCAGTCTCTAGAACTGCAGCATGGTTCAGCAAGGCCCTGTGTTTTGTAGAAGGCCCCGAGGCCTGCAGCTGGATGTCTCTGTCGGCATGGGGGCCCTGAATCCAGCCTGCCTGGGCGATCTCCTTTCTGTACAGTGGGTCTCTGAGCTGCTGCATTCTTGTGGTCCTGGGTGCTCCCCCTCCTATGACTTCAGAGATGAGGAGTGAAGGTTCAGCCAGGCCACCCTGGGGCTCAGGTGTGGCTAGGTGGGGGAATTGTACACCTTTCTGTTATCCCCAGCCCTAGACCACTCTCCCTGCCCTAGTCCTGGGCACTTCTGGGGAATGTACAAGATCCTGAGTGTTCCAGAGAGTCTGAGGAGGGAGGTACAGGGCTGGCGACATTGCTGTGCAAGGCTGGGCCTCTGGCCCTGCATACCTCTTGCCCCTGGCCCTTCATCACCATCCCAGCAGCTCAGAGGGAAGATGGCTTTGCTTTCTCCTGTGAAGTGCAGGATAGGAGCCCCTGAGGAGGGCAGGTCCAAATCCCAGTGCCCATCTGAGTTGAGGAGGGATGGGTGCCTGGGGAGGGGCTCTGTGTCTGCCCCCCGCAGCTGATCTGTGCTGTCTGTGCATGTGAGTCTAATGGTGGGTATGGTGCCCCTCAGTCTAGAATTCTTTTGCTTGATTCAGATGGAAACTGTAAATTGTAAAAGCACAGCTCTACCAGCAGTCCTGATGCCACCAAATAACACTGGGCAATGCTGGATGCCAACAGCTGACACAAGAGGCTGCGGGACACTGTAGGTCTGGCCTACTGGGTTCTGGTCATTGTAAGTGGTCTTCAGTAGCTCTTGGTCTCTAGACCTCTTTGGTGTTAACAGCTGTTAAGGATTTATTCATCTTCCTTTGGAAATGACTACTCTGTCCACTGTATTCAGGATAAAAATCCCAGTGGATTTATAGGACTTTTGGAGCCTACATTAGCAAAGAAATAAATCATGAGCAGGTTTCCAGGACCATCAAAGCGAGTGTTTATCCTAACAGGGCCTGTGCTGTAGCACAGGGCTCAGCACACAAGGGGGAGCCCTCCTCAACTGAGAAGTGGCTGGGGAGGGAGCCTGGCTATATAGCAGCTGCAGGCCTGGGTTAGTGAGGGGCAGGGCTGAAAGCTCCTTAGAAACGCTGCGTATGCAAATAAGGGGCCCAAATCCACCCTCCCAGGTCTTAGCCACTTCAGGGAGCCCCCTCTTTCAAAAAGGCAGCAGTAGTGTCTGAATTTGGGGTGATGGGAAGGCACCATGCTGCCTGTCTCTCTGCACTCCTATTGGAATGACTTGATAGGGAGGGCACTGCAAGCTGGCCCACTATGACTGCTTCAAAGCTCAGGGGCATCTAAGGACACCTGAGGGCGTGACCCTGCTTGTGTAGTGCAAGTGTACTGTGGGATGCAGTTATGTAACCATGACTTAGCACGGGCAAATACGCATGTGCTGGTTACAGCACTATATAAGAATGTAAATACGAGATAACAACCTATGTAAGAATTATACAATAAAGATGCAGATGGGTCCTGCGCTCTTGCACTCTTGTGTTCTGCTCTGCTCCATGGTCCCTACTGTTATTACTGATCTCTTACACATGCTTGTTCATTAATCTTGGGACCTCACCCCTAGAAGTCTCCCTTGGGTGCCCCAGGTGGGCCAACACACTCCCAGTCCCCTAAGGTAGGAGGGAAAGCAAAGTAGGGTGAGGAGAAGGGGCATGACAAACACCGGGTGAGGCAACTTCCCTCCAGCCTGCACGGCAAAAATGAGAGTCAGAGTTCTTGTCTGTCTCAGACATGTCTGCATGCTTGTGGGCGTGTACGTGTGTGCATGCATGTGCACACATGTGTGACTGCTATGTACACTTGCGAGAGAACTGGTTAATGATAGGGTGAGCATCTACACACTCTTATTCTTTTCCCCTTAGCTTGCCTTTTTAATATGAAGTACTTTCTGATTTAAGCCTTGTTAGGGCTTGTTCTAGGTTCTTATTTTACATCTTTTACTGATGTGGTCAGGCTAATTGATCTATTTTCTATTTAACGTCTTTTTATCCTTTTTAGAATGTGTCACTAGACTTTATGACCATTGCCCTGAAAAGTGATCTATCCTCACCCCACCCATCCCCTTTGCTTTTATTATTGAAATAAAGCAAGGTTGGAATCAGCTGGTGGCTGTGTTGGATGGGAATGGAAGGCTGGGCTGGGAGGTCCTGAGATGGAGTGGTTATGTGTATTTGTGACAAAGCCACACCTACGCATGTGCATGCACACACACACACACACACACACACACACACACACAGAGTACAGTGATGCTTAATATCAACTGCCAACTCTGTTGGCTGGAGAGATGCTCCGGAGACTGGGAAAGCACACATCTGGTGGTGTCTTGCATGGGTCACAATGTGGGATGTTGGACCTGCCTGGCCCCTGTCACTTCCCTTCCCCACTGGTTCGCCTCCCTCTCTGAGCTTCTGGCTGTCACAAGGCAAGCAACTTCCTCCAGCACACAGTTCTACCATTATGTGTCTCCCTCAGAGGCAGCCAACCACAGACTGCAACCTCTAAGACCGAGAGCCAGATAAACCTCTCCTCGTCCACGTTGTGGGTTTCAGGTATTCAGCAACAGGGAGCTGATTGACACATATTCCAAGGATGACTTCTTGGTTGTGTTGTTTTTCTCTTAAGTCCATAATAAACAAGACAGTTTGGTCATCTGGCTTATAAGTAGATGGGTAGCAAGGGGCAGGGCCTAAGATGGCCAGCCTTACAAAGAAGCCAGCCTGTACACCAGGATAAGTGCTAATTCAAGCCATAGAGATACCTAGACTCAGAAATGTAAGATCAAATGGGAAAATGGTAAGTGTTAAGATAAGGACAAGCTGTGAGGACTGTGCCCTTGGGAAAGGAATTTAAGTGGAATGGAATGTCCCAAGTTAACCACCTCTTTGTACATCCAAGTTAGGTTTCCAAGAATTTAAACATACTGAGTAACTGGATTTTCTTCTAAACTCTTCATTAGAAAATCTGAACCCTATTCAGTTACTTTAAACTCAAGAGGTCACCTGTAACAAGGACCACAGGACACTGAGCAGATTCCTGTGCTCTGTTTATCCATAACAGACCCTGGATAAAAAGCTCACTCCGGATTCCCATTTTGGGACTTCTCACAACTACAGGGAGTCCTCTGCCCTCTTTTGTTCCAATAAATGCCCTCCTGAACCCCTTCCTTTGTTTGCAATGTCACTCTTTGGCTATGAGAACATCCTGGTTTGGATTATAAAAACAAGATAGAGCCATTAGGGGAAACAGACGAAGAGCACAGGGCCTCCTCTGCACTGCCTTGGCAAATTCCTGTGAAAGCATAATGATTTCAAAACCAAAGGAAAAAGAGCCCAAGCCTCAGCTGCAAGGCTCAGGCTATTCACGGGCACAAATGGCGGAACTCTTTTTCCCTCTACCCAAGGGTAATGCCTTGATTGCTAATTAATGGCCAGTAGCTACCACTGCTACACTGTTCTCACCAGTCTTCCTTCTGCGGTTGGCATTTGTTGAAAGCCTGCTCTGGGACTCCAAAGCAACTTACATGCAACCTAACCAACTTAGATGCATGATCATATTTAACCTTTGTCACTAGTCCAAGAAGCAGGGGCTGCTTTCTTCGTCAAGACGAGGAGCTGAAGAAGGAGGTCTCCTCTGACCTGTGTGTGTGCGTTATTCTCCTTATTTTCTACCTGAGATGAAGAGGGCATTCTCCTCAGAGCTTCTGAGACCCTCTAGTGGACCCTTGGGTTGGTGCCTTGCTAAAATGCTCCGTGCACCCTCATTTTTCTCTCCTCCATCTTGAACTTGAGAGGCTCATCTGGACCTCTAAACTGTGCTAGTCTAGTACATACCAGCTTTATAATATAACAAGCTGAGGAATGGAGGGAAAAGCAAAAGAATGGAACCACGGCATGAAGATCATTGGGAGAGAGGTCAGTCCTGTTTATTGTCCGTGCTGAGGACTACGGGCTTCTGCGAGGTGGGAGCCATGGGGGAGGTATGGTCCTCACACTGCTTCTTCAAGATCTTGTACTTTTTATTCCAGGGGTTCGTGTACACAGAGAAGTAGCAACTGATTTGCTAGAACATGAGAACAACCTCCCATTAAAGAGATCGGAGGAGCAGCATTAGATTAGCTAAAAAGCGGGGGCTGGTGAGATGGCTCAGTGGTCTAAAGCACCTACTTAGAACAAGCTTAGCAAAGCACAGGGACTGCGGTTCAATCCCCCAGCACCACATGCCAGCCAGCCCCGCCCCCTGGTGGGCTGAGCTGGCCACACACACACACAAATAAATAAATAAATTAAAAAAAAAATATTAGCTAAAAAGCAAATAGTCAAAAAGATCCCCATACAAGGTGAATATGACACACTGGGAAGAAAGCAGAGATCCAGGAGCTGAAAATGATGCCTACTCTCCAGCCCTCCAACCCAGATCTGGCTGGATGTTCATTTGCTTTCAGTCACTCAATAGAACATTTCCATTCTAGAAAATATCTTGCTGTCTGGGATCAGCACACCTCACTCTGGGGCTGAGCTGCCTTTGGGGCAGGCTCCCGCTCCCCTCACGGGCCATTCACAGGTCTTGTTTTTCTCAGCTTGCCCTCACCAGGTGAGTCCTCTCTGCATTTCTTTTCCTGTCCTTGTTCCAGCACTGCCTGGGAGGACCTGGGGGCAGGAGCACAGAAACTGCCTGTCCCTGTCACTTGGAGGCTCAGCCACATCGGCTGGCTACTGAGGCCGAGTGTCCCCTGCCTTGGCTGTCCCCATATCCATGTCACCTGTCCCAGAAAAGAGGTGTGAGCCACGGTCCTTTCAAGCAAGCCTTAGCAAACGCACACTGTGCTGTCCTGTGACTCTCAGGAGAACCCTGCTAGGAGGTGCAGCTAGCCATGCTAGCACCCTCAGCCCGGTACCTTGGCCTGTTCCCCTTCCTGAGGGGCGCAGTTGCTGTATGTGGGCTTCAGGCATGTGGTTCTCTGCATTTCCACCTTGACGTGATGTTCCAAGTGATCAGTCACCTGTGGGCAGAGGAGGAGGCCGGGAGGTATAGTATGTTTTGTCTTTCTTTCTTGTGGCTGATAATCATGGGGGCTTGCTCTGCACTGTATCCAGCACAGGGGTCCAGTTCTGGACAGCTAGTAGGTGCCCTTCTTTTAGTCTGACTCCCTGCCTTTTTTTTTTTTCCTATTCAAAGAGAATTCACCTACTCAGGAAGCTGAGGTAAGAAGACCTCAAGTTCAAGGCCAGCCTGGGCAACACAGGGAGATTCTGTCTCAAAATAAAACAAGTGCTGGAGCTTGTGAGCTCAAGGCCAGATAACTCAGCAAGAACCTAACGATAACCACTCCCACCATCCGAGACTTAACTAGGAGCTATCCTGCTCAGGGCTGCTTCTGTCTAGGGTAACATGAACTGTGCTAGGGGCTTAAGGCCTGCAGACATTCTGTGAAGGACCAGGCGATTAACATTTTAGGCTCTGGGGGCCTTGCAGTCTCTCATCATTTCTTTCTCTCTTTTTTTGTATGTATTTGTACAGGGTCTCAGTACGCAGCTCGGATACATAGCGATCCTCCTGTTTTCAGCCTCCCCAGCATACAAGGGTATGCCATGCTGGGTCTTGGTGGCCAGCTCAGCATGTCTGGGGGTGGGGCTGGCACAGCGTGTGGTTCTGGGGATCGAATCCCTGGTCCATTTGTTTGCCTAGGCAGGCGCTCAGTTCACTGAGCTATCTTGCCAGCCCTCTCTCACCATTTCTGCCTGTGCTGGGTAGCAAGACTGGCTGCAGCCCACATACACATGTGGGCCTGCTAGCTGTGTGGGCTGCTGGAGGCCACAGACATGTCTGGCTCTGGGCTTGAACCTGGGGATCCCTGAGAGGCCAGCTTTATCAGCCCCTTGAATGTGTTTCTCCTAATGTTCTGCATCTGGAGGGCCAGCGGGTCTCTAGGGCTTCTCCCAGTGCAAGGGCAGTGAAAGATGAGAGCAGGACACCCACCTGGCTCTGCACCTGGAGCACTCGCATGATCCTGAAGCTGTACGCATCCTCACTGTCTTGGTTGTACTGTTCATTGAGGAAGCGCAGGGTCTCGGGAACGAACTCACTCACTGCTGTCTCCTCACTCACGCTGATGTAAGTCTTCCTCCTGAATTGGTCGCTGAAGGCCACCAGCACCATCAGAATGGCCAGCAGGAGCTGTGGGACCTGCCAGGGACTGGCCATTATCCCTCAGCCCCCTCACCTCCTAGAGCTGGGATAATGCCAGTACACCTGCCTGCCCAGGGACTTAAGTGCAGCCAATGGCGCCCACACTGTCCCTTCCTCCCATCCGGCTCCTACCCTGCCTTTCCCCAGCTCACTCCCACCCCACACTTCCCCAGAGGACACTGTTCATTGTGCACCCATGCATACACATGCTTGGGAATACTCATGTACACATGGTGTGCCCACAGCTGCACTCATACAGGTACGCTCACACTCACACACATGCACACTCAGGAGCACATGGTGCTGGCAGATGCCTCGGGGTGGTGCAGGTCCAGGGGCAAGAGAGGGGGTGGGTAGGGGCACAGGAGGTGGAACTGACAGCGGTGCAGGGGTATGAGGTTGTGGCTGCTGGGTCTCCAGACTGGAAATCCTGAGGTTAAATATTCAGCAGTTGGCATTTGAGGTAGAAGGGGCTTGGAAAGTCCCCCTGCGGGGGCTGACTGCAGTTTAATGGTGGGGTACCTCAAGTGCCTTCTGTGTGGAGATCTGGTGATGTTCAATTGTTGCCTGGCTCCTCCCTTTCAGGTGCCTAGACCAAGGCAGTAGCCTCCACTACTTTCTGAGGCTCCCGCCAGTGCCTGTGGGTTCTTTTCTTCCCACCCACTCGTCTTCCTGCCCAGGCACTTGGCAGTGGGCGATGCCACATCCTCCCTAATTCTGGGTCCTGATCCCCCTTCCTCCCTCTGATCTTTCTGCTGGTGCCTCCTCCCTGTGCACCCAGGCCTTGCCTCCCCCTCTGCAGGAACGGTGCTCAACTGTGGAGGGGCGGGGATAGCCCTGGCCCCTTGGAGCCCTTTGTTGAATTCCATGACACTCTCCTTCCTGGGCCAGCTTTCGAGTGACTCTGAGCCAACACTCAGTGTCCATCTCCTCCAGGACTCACTGGTCTCTCAGGGTGTATTAAAGCTGCTGCCAGCTTCCTGACCTGTGACAGAGAAACACACAGATGGAGGAGGAGGAAGGGTCTGCTCAGCCTTGGTCATGGTCGGTGGCCCCATGGCCTTGGCAGTCGTGAGAGGGAACATGTGGTAGGGCGAGCCTGGGTCCTAGACACAGGCCTTGGGGGGACGCTTACCCCATGCACCTCCTTCGCAGCCTGACAGCAGTACATAGACCACGCCTCCTCATCCACTCACCATGCTGTTGTCAGGCCTTTCTGGTGTGGAACTGGAGGAGGAGCGGATGTGTAGTGGGGGCCTCCTGGTGGGGCAGAGCAGCCAGGGCCTGGGTTGTGTGGCCCTGGGCTCCACGCCTGGGCTGCCCTCCACAGCTCCAGCAAGTGACCATGGCAGAGCTCAGCCTAGCTCCGGCCCAGGACCTCACCATTGCAGGGGTCACAGCCAAGGTCAGAAGCACTGTGAAGAAAGAGGGGGCGTCTCATGTGGGGGCGATGCTGCCTGCACAGCAGCACTGTGGCTTTGGTCTAGGCTTGTGTGTGAGGCTGCCCTCGCCCCTCTCCTTGACAGACAGAGAGCACTTCCTGCTTCCCTGAGTCTTCTGCTCCTGATCAGTTCAGGTCCCCCGGCAGCCTCAGTGAGGATAGTGGCTGCCCTGCATACTGTGGAAAATTGCGTGTTCTTTTCTGCCCCTCATAGGGATCAGTCTTTTTTTTTTTTGGAATCAGTCTTAATAAACAGTCCCATTTTAATACTCAGGAAGATTTACATATTGCATATGGCTTTAGGGGTGAGAGGCCCCTGAGTCTAACCCCTTGCCATTGGCCCTGTGTTAAGAATCCTTTTCCCCATGTTGGGCGTCTAACTAGGCAGGAGGCGGCTTAGGGGAAGGCTGGAAGGCAGGGAGGGTCTGGCCGCCTTGGAGCTGAAATCTGGGGCTGGATCCACATTTTGGGTTGAACAAGGTGCCTGAGTCTGAACACAGTGGGAAAAGCTGACAGGTAACTTAGTTCACACACAGTGAGTCCCAGGCAGGTGCCCAGGGGTCTTCTGCAACCCTGGCTGACTCCAACCTTGATGACCATGTCACTGACCATGCAGATTTGGTCCCCAGGGGTCACACCCATGACAGTGCCTTCGAGGGCCAAGAAGGGACAGAAACTCATCTAAAAACAGAGGATCCCAGCCAAGCTGCCCCTGGCTGTAGCACCAAGCCCCTTGGACCACGAGCTCCTGGCTGGTCCCACCCTGTGAGGCGACTTCATCTTTTCTCTTTTGAGCAAGTCACTGATCATGACTGCTGTCTTGGCCATCCACTCAGGTCTTTGTTCAGCATCAGCAACCTGGACAGGATCCCAACTTGGGAACAGTGGAGCATCAGATAGGGAGGGCAGGGTTGGTGACCTTCGGGGGAGGAGCTGGTAGCAGCAATGGCTTCTTGCAGAAGCTCTCAGAGTGCTGGCCTCATACCCTGCATTCCATGAGCCCAGCTGGCCAGTGGCCAAGTCCACAGGCAGCTTGGCTGCTGTTTCCCCACCTGAGGAGATGCTCAAGGACGTTCCTAGGCATTGCTGGAACCCTGGGGATGTGAGGAGGGTGCATGTGCAACAGGTGTGTCCCTAGGCCCAGGACTTTTGTCAACAGGGGCCTAAGAACAAGGAGTAGCGAAGAAGGTTGCCGACAGCACAGGACTCAGTGGGCAGGGTCAGTAGATCTGGAGCCTGAGGGTGTCTCTAGCCATAGTGGGTGCTTTGTCCCACCCCTGGGTGCCTGTGCCCAGTGCTGGTGCAAACTTGCTATGGACAGTGCCCCTGCTGGGGTGCTACTCTCATTAGGCACCCACCTCTGGACCATAGAGAAGGCATTTTTGGACATCAGTGAGGGTGCAGAGTCTCTGTGGCTCAGCTCAGCGAGGTCAGCTCTGAAGCCAACATGTTCAGGCTACCAGAGCTTAGGCGGCTTGAGGGGAAGATGAGCATTGTCTCTGTGACCCCAGGAGAGCCCTAAGCCTGAGTCTGGTAGAAATGATGCTGGACACCCATAAAGCTGCAGACTGCAGCTCAGAAATGTGATTGGAATGGGCTTCTGCCCTTGGGGGCCCTCCTGTGGCTGAGCAGCGCTGCCTGGGCACAGAGCCTTTGACACTGACCACTGTGCCCTTCTATCCCTGCCTCCACTGTCACTGTCATGCAGCCACATGGCCCTTTACTATTGTGGGAAAGGAGAAAGGAGGGTGGAAGGTGACAGGGGAAAATTATGTAACTCCCTACCACCAGACACGAAGTTCATGTTCCTGAAATCAAAGAACGAATTCTAAGGAACAATAAAGGTTAGAGTAGGAAAAGTTATTGGGGAATAGGAATGGGAAGCAAGAATGGCTCCTGAGGGATAGGAGGGGCACCCAGTGGGCTACCAATGAGCCCACTTCTCTGAGAAAATTTTATAGAGTGAAATCACTTGATGGGCACAGCATAGGTCAACACTATGATCAACCAATACGATTACAAGTGTAGACATCAAGGTAATGTTGACTGTGACATCTCTGGGGTTCCTCATACTTGGCACTGGGACAGTTGGTGCCTGTGTGCTCCAGCTTCTTTCTCTAGTTTGACATTCCCAGAGTGCTTCCTGTTGGGCACGGTTCTGACAGTGCCATCCTGTGATGGGCACCTGGATGGACACCTAGCCCCTGGAATCATGGAGCCTGAGAATGAGTGTCCATCAGTCACTGGCACTGCTCAGGGGCACCTTGAATGGGGGCGGGGAGACTTGGGCTCAGTGAGGCCTTGGGCCCCTGTCCTGGTGGGGCTGGTGCTTTTCCAGCCCAGGTACAGTTGGCATTGGCTTTAACTTTCCCTTTCTTTTTCTTCTTTTAAATTTGGTTTGTCATGCCCCTTGCAGGAAGAGCTCAGCATGACCCATCCCCCATTTATGTGCTGCACCTGATTCTTTGCTGGGCGCTGCACATCCATGCCAGCCATGGCTCTCACAGTTCACCCTCAGGTACCACAGCTGTGTGCCAACGTAGATCCCAGACTGTCTGCTTCTCTAAGTGACAGTCTGCAGTCCCAGGTATGGGCATCTGTGGTGTAATTAAAGGCATCTCCCACACACCTGTGCAGTTGTGTGGTGCAAGTACCATTTACTTCCATCGTGACACACAGTGGGAATTCTGTTGTCCCAATCATTATCCCTTTGGCAGCAGGTGTAGGGTGCTGAGAGATCCAAATCCCTTAGGTCCTGTGCAGCAGCCCCAGGAGGTGCTGCTGGATGCCTGTGTGCTCTTCACCCATTGTTCCTTCTACCCATCCACCTGTTTCTCTGGCCGTCTGTCCATGTATCCCTTCCTTCCATCTGTCCCTCCCTTCACATGTACCACCTTCACTCATGGTCCCTCTGGACCCTTTCCCCCCAGCAACCTTGTGAGACAGCTCCACACACCTTTCCTGGTAAGTGATAGACGCGTAGAATAAAGGCAGAAGGAACACAAGAAAACCTAAGAATCGTCAAACAAATCTCCTGTGTCCTGCACCATATTTGTCAATAACTAACAGCACAGCATGCATTCTTTTCATCCTATAGAAGATCTCTCAGCACTGACCTTCCTGTGGTCTATAAGTCATATCTTGATGGATTTGAAAGAGCAGGTGTTGTATAGGTAGACTGGGTTCTCTGGCCACAGCAAAACTGAGTGGAACTGGAAGTCATGACGAGAAATTGTTTGAAAATGCAGTCACATGATTTTAAGTCACCCAGGCACTGCAGAGGTTATGCCTTGCTGGTTAGGATGGGTGGTAGATGTCCGTAATGAAGACCTTCTGCAGGAGCTGCCCCGAGGACGTTGCTGACATCAGCTTCCAGGAGCGGGGAAGACCTGGAAGTGAACAGGGCCCTGGCTAGTGGCTGAGGTTCTCTCTCAGGAACCAAGGAATTCCCAGTTGGGCCAGGAGCAAAGAGAAGGGACAGTATAATAGATGTGCACAAGAGAAAGACAACTAAGGTGTAAGGTGCAGGAGTATAGTGGCTGGCTCTCAGAAGGTCTAATAAAGCTGCACTCTAGGCAAAAGGGCTGCAGAGTTGGAGAAGGCTGTCACAACCTCACCTGCCACCAGACTGCCAGGTGTCATAATCAACCTCTGTCTGGAAGGGAGGTGACCATGATGCGGCTGGAAGCCCACAGAGTGGCGTGGCATGCACACTGGAAATCTGTGTTGTGGGAGTCCCCTGACATCAGCAATCAAGGTCTTCCTCTTCCCAGAAGCTGCAGGATGGCTTCTAGCACTGCCAGTCCCTCCATCCACACTCCCATCTTTTTCTGGGGCATCCCTATTCTTCTTGTGGCCTGTCCCCAAGGTCACAGCCAGGCCATGGGGTATCCCAACTTCCCTGGCAGGGAGCATCTGCCCAGGCCCCCAGCTTGCTGGCCCTGGGGTTGTTTTCTTGCTAGAAGCTTAAGTAGGAGGCTGGCATGGCTGGGGCCTGTGGACCAGGATATAGTGTCCACAAAGGCCATGGTGTTGCGGAGTAAGGGGAAAGATGCTAGGGCCACTCTTGGCAGGACTTCTGTCCCCAGCCCCTTGGCCTCAGGCTGGCTGCACTCTCCCACCCCCCCCCCACCGCGCACGCTGCCTAGCAAAGTTCCACCCTGAGACTTGTCCCAGAGTCTCTGTCCCCTCACGTTCTGCACATGGATAAGGTTTGGCTCAGGGCAGTGGGCAGCAGGGTGCACCTGCTGCCAGATGCCACGTTGTGATTTGATGGGCAGGAGCTGGAGTTGGAAGTGCTGCCAGGCATGCGCTGTGAGTGACCCTGAGCCCAAGGTGGGGGAGCTGCACTTCCTGCTCCTTGCTTTGTGGTGATAGCTGATGACTGATGGCTGATGGCCTGGGCTCAGGCCAGGGAGAGGCAGAGGGAGGTGGTCAGCAGTGTAGGGCTCTGGTAGGTGGGGCTGTGCAGGATCCTGTGCCCAGAGTGGAGAGCTGTTCCTGCCGCTGATTCCCTGAGCCACAGGACCCAGCTGGGTGCTTGCATAGGGGCCAGCCATGCTAGGGAAGGCGGCACTGCTTGTGGGGCTTCTCTTGCTGGGGACCTCCACTTGCCTTGAACAATTTGTAAACATTGACAGGAGCTTGAAGCCTTTTGCCATGTCTGTGGAGTATGTTGTATTCCGCTTCAACAAGGCCCAGGAGGACCCATTTGCTTACAAACTTCTTCGGATCCGGAGGAGCCAGTGTCAGGTGAGAGGACCAAGTCTGGAGGGTGGGGTCATCTTCCCCCTGGGACCAGGGGATACTGAGTTTTGAGTTTGGTGAGTGTTTAAAATGAAAGCCAAAGTGTTATGAGTGGAGATAAGGTTCTCCTTTGATTTTGCAAGAGCATGGCCCTAAAGGCAGGGTAGGAGGAGGAAAGGAAGCAGATGAAAGCGAGGGGATGGATACCTGGTGCTACACCCAGTGTTCAGGGCTGCAGAAGGGCAGGCAGAGGAAGCTGGCACTGTAGACAGGGTCCATGAGGGGGAGGGCCTCAGCATCCTGAAGAAGGGGGACCAGCAGGGCTGGTGTACAGAGCTGGGGCTGGGGGCAGGAGCGTTGCTGCTAAGGAGTCAGCCATGCAGGGAACAGGTCTCAGGCTGAAACCCCAGGCAGACAGGAGCCAAGCAGCCCCAGCTGTGGAGTGAGACAGCAGGAAGGAAGGAGACAGCAGGGGCATGAACAGGAGGCAGCTGGAAGAGAGGGCCATTTTGGGGGTGCTTGTGGGACGCTCTCACTGCCAGCTGCTGTGAGCGCGAGGCATGGTGTACTCAAGGAGGAACCTAAGACTGATTCCAAGCATGGGGTATGGGGTGGGGAGATTCCTTGGCCAAGTGAGGGACAAGAGAAGGAGAGCTAGGACAGTTGCCCTGGGCAGCACTCGTGCAGCGGGTAGTGGTGAGGCCTTGCTGGAGAAAAAGCCCACCTCCCACCAACAGCCTCCGTTGGTCCCCTACTTCCTCAGATGGAAGGACCACCAGGAGCACATCAGGGTCTCAGCTATGTGGGGTATGGAGGTGTGGATGTGCCAACTGAACACCTCTTTGTCACCTGATACAACAGGGCTCAGTGAGGACACAGCTGAGAGGCTTCCTCGCACGTGTGTTTGGTGCTGCCCCAGATGAATGATTGCTTTTGTTGGGGCTGGGGTCTAAACCAGGGCCCTGCACATGCTAAAACCATGCTCTGCCTCTGCGCTATACACCAAGTTCATGCTAAAGCCATGCTCTGCTGCTGAGCAACATGCCCAGGTCACAGTACAGCTTCCCTTAGAGGAAGGGAGAATTAAGAGGGAAAATGGAAATCAACAAGAGGCGTTGCTCAGGACACGCCCACTTTACCGACAGGTGCATGCGATCCCTTTCCCGGCTGTTGTCTGGTCGGGCAGGTTTGGCACATTTCAGCAGAATATTTCACAGCAGGCTCTACCATTCTTGTTCACAGATCTTTACTATGACGTATTTAGTAGACCTGGAGATGGGCCGCACCGTGTGCAAGAAGGAGGACGAGGACTTAGACAACTGCCCACTGCAGCGGGACGTAGGACATAGGAAGGTGTGAAGATAAAATCACCCCAAGCAGTGGGCCTTCTGGGACTGGAAGTGAATATGGGGAAGGCCCAGGGTGGGGGCTCCAGGTCTGGCAGTGAGGGCCTGACCGAGCTCCACAGCTGCAGGGTCCCCCTCTATAAGCAGCTCTGGCCTTTCTGATGCCTTCGGGTGCAGCAGACCCCACTGTCCCTGGGGGTCCCCCTATGCTTGGGGCTGGGGCTGCTTAAGGCCCTATGCACTAGCCCCTCCCTCCAGTTTGGAGTCCTGAGAGTGTTTCCTGTTGGGCAGGTTTCTGACAGTGCTATCCTGTGATGGGCATCCGGTCCACAGGATCTGGATCCACAGGTGTTTTATTCTGTCTTATATTTTTCTCTGGTATTGGGAATTGAACCCAGGGCCTTTACAATGAGACACATCTCCAGCTCTTTTATATTTTTAATTAAAAAAAAATTGAGGTGGGGGTCTTCCTCAGCTGCTAAGCTGCTCAGGCTAGGGCTGAACTTGCAATTCTGCTGCTCCAGCCTCTTGCAGTGCCAGGGTTGTATCTGGCCGGCTGTGATCTTGGAACCCAAGGGTGGGCATCCACCAGGGGCACCATCAGCTTCTGTGGGGGTGGGGTGTGCTCTGCTCAATGGCAGTGCCCACAGGACAGCTCCTAGCTCTATTAGGGTCCTTGGTGGGGACTGTCTGTCCAGCAGCATGAGTGTGTGTGTGTGTGAGGACAGGATGCCCTAGGGACTGGTGACAGCCCACACTTCCTTTTGGGACCTGGGCTCTGGAGGGAAACTGCAGCCTCTGTCTGACATGGGGCTCTGGTTAGTATCAGGCTCAACCTTCTTTTTCCCTCCCTCCTCCTTGAAATGTGGTTCTGACACCTGGGCGCTACACGATTGGCGAGCCCCCTGTTTTCTAACATCATGCTCCCTGTCCTCCTCTCAGGTGCGCTGCACTTACATCGTAAAGACCATAGAGTGGCTCACCCAGTTCTCCATCGTGAACAGCACCTGTGCTGAGACCTCAGTGGGGAGGGCCTGGGCAGCTTCATAAATGTCCTCAGCCTTGGGAGTGTGCCAGTTCTGTGCTCTACGTTGGTGTGGACAGTGCAATTAAAGGCCCATCATGACACTGAAAGGTCCCCAAACCTCTGTACCCTCCCATGTTGTTATTTGCTATGGATGTCATTGTCAAGAGCATTTGTCATCATGGTTGTCACCTTGGCTGTGGCTGTGGAGTGCTCAGTAAGTTCTGTGAAGCAGTGTACCTTTCACCTGCTGGCCTAGTTCATTCATTCTTCTGTGAGTGTATGACTCCTTTATTCATCCTCCGCTTATCTACACCCCTCACCCCACCACTCAAATGACAGCAAAGTTTGCCAGGGAACAGCCTCAGGGACCGGGCTCTTGGTGGCAGCTTCTATGGGTGGGGGTAGTAGGTATGACTGGAGGAAGTCCTCCAAGGTGGGAAGGCAACCCGAGAAACCGCAGGATCCCACATGTTCCCTATGATTCTCACCTCCTCTCTGTGATCCCCATCCATGGCTGCCAGGGCTACTACCCAGGGGAGGGGCATCCTGAAGACAGATCTCCAAGGATGAGCTTTTCTTGTGGACAGAGAGGCCAGGAACACCCAAAGTGAAGGTCAGTGACCTTCCCTACCAGACCTCTGGTGTCTGCCCTTCTCCTGACGGATACATCCTGTGCCTTTGTCACGGTGCAGAAGACAGAGGGCTCCTGGAAGTAGCTCTGGGCGGCTCATGGGTAGATCACAAGGATGGTGAGGTGACCAGCCTCGGTCCCCTGGTTGGCCTGCATGCAGGATGCACGACATCTCTTCCTCCTGCCTGGCAGGGTCTTGCTCACTTCCCCAAGTGTGTCTGCGTAGTCAGAAGAGCTAACTTGCTACTTGTCCTTTTTTTTTTTTTTTTTTGCTCCAAATGCCTTCAAGGCATGACTGGCTGGCTTGAGTTGTGGGGATCGAACCACAGCAACCTGAGCCTGACGGCTTTGTTGAAGAAGCCACTTAAAGAACTGAGCTAAGGGGCAGGCCCCCATTTTTTTTTTTTTCTACTTGTCCTTGACCATGAGAGCACTCCAGCCTGGGACGGGAAGATCGTGCTCCTGAGCCCCGTGCCTCTGCCCCAAGACCCCGTTGTTCATGGGCTCCACAGGCTGCTGTTTGATTAGCCTGTTTCCTTTGCTCATGGCCCTCATACCCATTTATGAACTCTGTGCTCATTAAAATGGACCCCTTGGGACTGGGGAGATACCTCAGTAGAATAAGCGCTTTCCTGGCAAGCACAAGGGCCTGAGTTCAATCCCCAATTCTGAAAAAAAAAAAAAAAAAGAAAGAAAGAAAAAAAAAAGGACCCCTTGCAACTGTCCATGGACTCTACATTTATTTCCATGGAGCCTATATGTACCCAAACCCTATTTGTGAACTTTGTCTCCACTTCCATTGTTCACCATCCTCAAGCATATTCATGTATCTGATGTCCAGGCACCCAACATCCATTTACATGTACGCGATGTCCACTTTCCCATACCGATGTCCACTTTCCAGGATCCCATGCCTGTTCTTCCTGGCTGCATACTCAGTTCACAGGCTCCAAGTTCATCATGTGTGGATGTCACATCTGTTATTCATGTAACACGTACCTATTGTTCATGTGCCCAATGTTCATTCGTGAACCCTCTGCATATGGATGAGCCCCATCCCCACTGTTCATAGATCTTGTTTCCATTATTAAAAGACTGTTTACTGAAAGTCATAAATGCTAAAAGCTTTAAAAGAGAACAACAGATGCTGGCATGCGCCTGGGCTGTGTGATGGAGAGGGGAGGGGAGGTGATGGGGACTGAACTGCTGGCTTTGGCCCAGGCGGGCTGCAGAGCCCAGGCAGCTCTTTCCAGTATTGCTTATTGCTGCTTGTGGCCCTCTGTGGGACAAAGGTCAGCAGGCTCAAGGTCCCCTCCCAGGCAGGTCATAGGCGCTGGCTAACATCACAATGTGTGGCCTCCTGCAGGGCCTGGGTTCAAAGAGGAACAGGTCAAAAAGGAGGACAACACTCTGGGCCAGGGTTGTGGCATGAACTGAGTGTGCTGGGGACCGGAGAAGCACAGGCCATTGGCTGGAGCCCAGCTCACGTGAAAACCAGGCCCGTGGCAGGACAGGTGGGAAAGGACACTCAGGTCACAGGTTTTCAGTCCCCGTTTACAGGGCTGAGATACAGGAGACCACAGTGGGGGTGACAGGCACAGGGTGGGGGCCTGGTTGGACAGGGGCAGCTCTGGAGCACAGATTTCCAGGATGGGAAGAGCAACAGGGGAGGAGAATGCATGGGGTACGCTTGGTGGGGGTGCTCGAGCTGGGAGAGGCCGCTGTAGGTGTGAGCCTAGCCGGGTGGTGACAATGGGGCTGCCTGAGAAGAGCCTCAGGCTGTTGGGGCTGCCAGAATCCTCAAGGGGGCCTTGGTCCAGCTCCAGCCCATAGCTGTGCGGCCTGTGTGCTGCCCTGACCACACCTAGTACGGAGGGAGGGAGTGTTTTGAGCCAGATCTACAATGGACACCATGGTTAGTGTGTGCAAGTCACGGACTTCCTTTATTCTTCAATATTTTTGTTGTAATATTAGGTAAGGCAAAATCAACCTAAAACACCTAAATCAACCTAAACATTTGTTACACCTTGTTACACCAGTGCACCAGCGTCTGTCCCACGGGAAGGGCTGTGGCTTTAGTGTCATCCTGACATGCTCAATAAATTTACCTTCCATGGACTATACCCAGGAAAACTGCCTCCCACAAAAGGACACATTGCCAAAACGCAGTGGCCCATGGAGGGGTGAGTGGGACGTGTGGGTTGTTCTTTGTGGAAACAGGTCTTGTCAGAGTCGAGATTTGATCAGCTTTTCCTTTGGGTTGAATGTCTGATTGCAATGTTGTGCTTTACAAAAATTAATAAATTGACACACACTTATTTTTCTAGTATTAATGATGCTGTATGCATAGCTATTACAACATCAGGAGTAAACAATGACTTGGTGCAGTCTTTTTTTTTTTTTTTTTTTTTGCAGAATGGGGGATTGAACTCAGGCCCTTGTACTTGCCAGGGAAGCACTTATTCCACTGAGCCATCTCCCTGGCCTCCCCCACTTTTTTTGTGGCTGGCTCAGCCTGCCCTGGGGGCAGTGCTGGTGTGGCTTATGGTGCGGGTATCGAATCACGGTCCCTGCACTTTGCCTAAGCTTGCCTAAGCAGGCGCTTTAGACTGCTGAGCTATCCTTGCCAGCCCCACTGATCCAATCTTGAACTTCCTATACCAGAGCTAAGAAATCACTTTAACTATCTGAATTATTTTACCAATAACTAAGCAAGCTAAAGCTTAATAATTGAATTAGAAATCTCACACATCTGCTTAATAACAATCAATGCCTGCTTTCACTGGCACACACAGTGACTCCATTACCGGTAATCTCTGTGTACTACTGACCAAGGTACACACATGTGTAAGTGCAGCATGTGGTTTCCATCAGCTTACCTTGTGTGGCTGGTGCAGCAGGCAGGATTAGCACTGTTTGCCCCACCCTCTGGACCCATGCAGCCCACATTTATGCACTGAGCACTACAAAGGGCTGTGAAAACTATCTCTCAAAACTGCTCTGCCAGGGCTGATGAGATGGCTCAGTGGTCTAAAGCACCTACTTAGAACAAACTAAAAGCACAGGGACCGCGGTTCAATCCCCCAGC